GTGGGGGGGAGGGCCCCCCCCTCCCCCCCCCCCCCCTCAGTGCACAAATTTTTGTGCACTGGGCCTCTAGTTTTATATAAAGGACTTGAGCATCCTTGGATTTTGGTGTGTGTGCACGCATGCGTGCACCATGGAAGCAACCCCCGTTGAATACCAAGGGATGACTCTAATAGGACTGACTCCAATATCCAGCACTTACATAGTCACAGCTTCATAACTTTATTGAAGGGAATGCTACATGTGTTTACACTGAGAGATGAAAAATCCAAATGCCTTTAAGTATTTGCTATTCTAGAAAGTCTACTTCAAATAGGTATATTTCTAAAACTGAAAAGAGGTACCACTGTTTTCTAATACTTGATTAGCAGTATTGGAAATTTTACTTGAAAAGAGTTGGTTAAATACATATTAACAGTTCTGTTAAATACATTTAACAGAGTTCTGAATTCTTTCAGTCTATAAGCAGGAACCAGATTTGATATTCAGGTGGAAAATCTTTAGGAAATATCTAAGTGCTGTAAGTGCATTGTTGAGTACACTGTTTTAATTATGCTCAATAATGAATTAACCGCAGACATCACCATAGCACACTGAACAGCTGAGAGAACAGCTCCTCCCCCGTGAGTTGGAACAATTATGGTCACTAAAAAGTTCTTTCAAAACTGGTAAAATAATATAAAAACAATGTCCTGGTTCAAATGCAACGCTGATATTATACATTCTTATTAACTCTGTTTTTAAAGTTTATAATAAAAATATTTAAAAATTATGTGGTTTTGCTCTGTAGTCAAATATGAAATGATTTACAGTAAAAATCATTTGGTAAAAAGGAAAAAACCACACTTATGAACCCCAGTATTTCATAAATGCATTTCTATTCTGGTTTGTCAGACAAATGAATCATTGAGAATCTAGGTCATAGAGATGGACTACAATTTATAAACATATAATTAGGAATTCTCAATGCACATTCTTAGTGAAAGTCTATTTGAGAGATACTTCTAAACATGTGGGAATGCAAAAGCCATGTTATGTGTTCTTATCATGAGTTCAATATATAATCACTTTCTGCCATTTAAAAAAGAGGTTCTAGAGGGTTGAGTATTATTGGCTGCCTTCACATTAATAAAGCATCACTATACAATACTCATTTTTAAAAAGATAAAGAGAGTGAGCAAGGATATTGTTTTGATTCCATTTCTAAATAAAATGAAAAGGAATATACCCAACTGTAAATAAAAATACATACACACATACATAAAGTCATTCCAGGAGTTGAGAGAGACTGTATGAGTACCCATCACTAGAGGGCAGCAGAGTGAGGTGCAGAGACCTTCTATGAGCACCTGCCAAGGTTTCCTGGGAATCACTGATTTGGTGCTGTTTACCAGTAATGGAAGACTCATAAAGCCTCACAAAAATGTTCTAGTTGCTTCAATCTCATGTTTCTAAATATTTATCTATTCTACTTACTATATCAAAAAACTGGAACAAATACTGAATTCAGATTTCACTGACTGAAATCTCTAAACACAGCAATGTGATTAAGAGACAATGTCGATTGTCAAGGGCGGGGAAAAAAAGGAGACATATGTAATACTCTTTGTAATACTTTAAGCAATAAAACAATTAAAAAAAAAAGAGACAATGTCAGTTCCGTTTTAACACAAATATTTGGGGATGAAGTTCCCATAAAACATTATTTTAAAAAATTATTTTAAGTAAATAGTATTTTAACTATGAATATATTATAATGTACACTTTTAATTAATCATCATCTTCCACTTCATTTTGCTTATGCTATTAATTATTCAAGGAGAAAATTTGTAAGATGTCTAAGTAAATATTTAAAACGTTAAAAAATTACTCTTCTTGTAATTAATGGATCTTTATTCCATCATAATAGAGAAATTACTCACTACACAGTTTTAAAAAGTTAAATGAATAAAAAAACCCACAAAGAAACCTTGTCTACTAGGCAGAGGAGTAGGAGCAGAGTAATATTTGGGTGGTTATGATAATGACCTACAAATCTTCAAGAGATACAAATTTGGGGATATATAATGGAAAACATAATCTCCCAGGACATGACTGTTTGCAAAGTTTTGAAATAAAATGAAGAAATCAACAATTGAGAGCTCTCCATAGGAGGGGAAAAAATGTATCAATTATTTTTTAAACTGATTATATATATATACACACACTAGTAGCCCTGTGCATGAATCCGTGTGCGAGTAGCTTGCTGCCGCTTGCCTCAGCTGGCCACCCCACCCACCGACGCTGGTAGCTCTCTATCGCTCTTAGCTCGCTGCCCCGCCCTTCTGTAGCTCTCCCCCGCTTGTAGATGGGTTGTGATGTTATGGCGTCCTGGCTAATTTGCATATTTCTCTAATTACATATATATATATATAGTATTTGTTGTAACTTCTGCAATCACTTACCTATATGGAGACTGAACTGATGTTGCTACAGTTGGCATGGCAGTTGCTGTAAGCATTTTTGTTGCTCTGGTCACAGCATGTGTTAGAGTGGGGCCGCCAAGTGCTGAACTGGCTGCCTGTGAAATAAGAAATAATCATTCTAGATCAGGATTTCTCAGCCTCAGATCAACTGGCATTTTGGCTGGAAACTTCTCTGTTGTGGAAGACTGTCTCAGGCATTGTAGGATATTTAGCAGGATATATATCCCTGACCTCTACCAGCAGGTGCCAGTAGGATTCTTCAAACTGTGACAACTAAAAAGGTCTCCTGACACTGCCACATGAACTGTGGGAGGCAAAATAACTCCCAGTTGAGAACTACTACTACTATTCTATGTATGTTAACACATGGTACCTCATTTAGAGGTACCTGAATATTAAAAAAAAAATTTTTTTAAAGATATTTTTGATTTCAGAGAGGAATGGAGGAGAGATAGAAACATCAATGATGAGAATCAATGATCGGCTGCCTCCTGCTCACCCCCCACAGGGATTGAGCCCCCAACCTGGGCATGTGCCCTGACCAGGAATTGAACCATGGCCTCTGGTTCACAGGTTGACACTCAACCACTGACTCACACCGGGCAGGCTAAATGTTTTTTATGATGACCTATCTGGATGGAAGTCATGACTTGGGAAATCCTACACATATTCTAGCACATACTCATCACCAAAATGTTTAACTTATTAACATTTGGAGGCAGTAGCACTTTATATTTTTGGAATACTCTTTATTGGATATAAAAAACAAGCACAAATTAAGAAAGAAGATGAATGTTCAATATTTTAACTTATCATGCTGGAAATAAGGCATTACATGTGAAATGTATTACACAGCAGGCTTCTAAGGGGCAAAGACAACCAACAACACCTACTAATGAGTGTCCTGGCATGGCCTTTAATAGCATTTATAATATAAACTAGGTGAAACATGGGAAGCATGGAAAAAGAAGCAAGTGCTTGTATAAAAGTCCTGAACCAAAAAGTAAAAAGGAGGAAAAGAATCCATTGGAAATGTTGAGTGGAGCAGACCTGAAGACAGAAAACAGGTTCCTATACCCTCAAAGGGAGGTGGGTAAAGCAGGGAAGAGGGTGGTGGAGGAAGAAGAAAAAAATGTCCTATATACACTCGTATGTGGGGGCATCAAGGCAAGCATCTGCTCCCTGCATTACAATATGGTCGGTTCACAGATTCTTCAACAGGATCCAGCCACAAATAGCAAATACATACATGATCTCAAAATATAAAGTTATAAAAGGAAAGAAAAAGAAAGCATTTATTTAAAAAAACAGGTTAAATAAAATTTGCTACTCACTTCTAATCTTGTATAGCAATCAGCAATGAATTTCTTATGCAATGATACAGAATCCTAAAAGTAAGAGGTATATGGAAATTAAACTTAGTCTGGCATTTAGCTGTAATCATTAAGGACAAATGTCAACATAAAGAAGTCAATTTTTAGGCATGCTAACTTATAAATAAAAATAAATACAATCTTCTGCCCTTTTGTGTTTGACTACCTTCTTCCTGTAGATACCCACCTTCTTTAACCTAGGATTTAGATTAATGTAACTATAGTTTATGATTAATTGAATAGCTTCATTTGCAATTTCTTCATCAGGTGATTCCATGGCTATTTTCCAAATGAAATCCATTCCTATCAATTCCAGCTTTTCTACATACTGTTCAAAAGAAAAAAAAAATAGTACACCAAGGTCACAAAATTACAATTTTTTTCTGTTACACTGTAAGTTCACACCTCTTTAGTTCAATATGAATTAAGGCTGTAAAAAACTAACTATATGAGAACACTACTGTACCAACATGGAACTTAAAACAAAAGACAACCAACCACAGAAACACTGGGCCATGCCCAAGGGAACCAGAGTAGATGTGAAGAAGATTTTTTCCACATACACCTACACCCATACTAGACATCTACCCAACTGAACTACTGATGCAGAACTAGCAAAGCGTGAGATGGGTGCCATCCTCAGGAGCTTTTTTTCAGAAGAAAATGAAGTCAAGCTAGAAGTAGTTAATACTCCTTGGAGCTCAATTCAGTCTTCCCAAGGGCATAAAAGGTCTTGTAAAAATTCTTACCATCCAGGAAACCAGGTCAAGAAACATTCTTAGAAAAGAGAGTTATTTTTTGCCTTTCTTTTTAAAGGGGCACATATATATAACAGTTGTACACATTCTATAGATCATTTTCCTGCTTCATTGTCTGCTCCTAAATTTTTCTCCCCAAATCCTTGCCACTGCAATCTCAGAACTGAAGACTTTGTTACTTCGTTAGGAATATGCGGGTTAATGGGTCTGAGGAGTTGGAAGTGTAGATGGAACTAACCTACTCTACACTGACCTAGCCTCAGGAAGCCACTGGCAGCCCCGGGTCAGTAAGAAGCAGAGGGATCTAAGAGGTCAGTTGTCATCAATGCAGAAAACAGCAGGCAAAGGATACCCAGTCTTTTAAAAAACTTCATGTTTCACTATGTTTATAACATGTTTTTGCTGAATATCAAATTTTACCAGATTATCTAAATTATTCAGATTTGAGAATAATGTACTTACCAACTGAGCTCCTTGTCTTTTCAATCGATGATCACAGAGATTCACATTTTCAAAAAAAGTCTTAAATAAGTTAAAACCTGAAATTAGAGAACGTCAAATAAATTCCTGTACTGTAAGCAAAGACTCAAAAGCATATCAAGGACTGAAACTAAAATACTCAGGACAAAACATAGGCACAAATTTTTAAGACCTTGGATTAGGAAATGGTTTCTTAGATATGGTGCCCAAAGTACAAGTAAAAGAAAAAACAGATACACTGGACTAAATCAAAATTACAAACTTTTGTACTTCAAAGGACTGTCAAGAAAGTGAAAAGACAACCCATAGAATGGGACAAAATATTTGGAAATCATATTTCTGACAAGGAGCTAGTATGCAGAATATATAAGGAACTCTTACAACCCAACAACAAAAAAAAGGACAAATAACCTAATTAAAAAATGGGCAAAAGATTTGAATAGGTATTTCTCCAAATATATGCAAATGGCTGGTAAACACATGAAGAGTCAATATCATTAGTCTTCAGGGAAATGCAAATCAATACCATGCGATACCACTTCACACCCACTAGGATGGCTAAAATAAAAAATATAGACATTAACAAGTACTGGTGAGGAAGCAGAGAAATTGAAATTCTCACACATTGCTGGTGGGATTATAAAATAGTGCAGCCACACTGCAAAAGTTTGGTAGTTCCTCAAATATTAATTTTCTGATATAGCAATTCCATTCTGGGTATATATGCTCAAGAGAAATAAAAACCTCTGTCCACACAAAACTTGTACATGAATATTTGTAGCAGCATGATTAATAGCCAGAGAGTGTTAACAACCCAAATGTCCATCAACTGATGAATGGATAAACAAAATGTGGTATAGCCTCACAATGGAGTATTATTTAGCCTAACTGGAATGAAGTACATGCAACAACTAACCTGGGGTGAACCTTGAAATTATCATGCCTCAGCATAATAAAAAATGCCAGACCCATATTGTACAATTCCATTTATATGAAATGTTTAGATTAGGAGAGTCCATAAAGACAGAAACTGGATTAGAGACTGGGGGTAGGGGTGATGGGAAGTGACTGCTAAAAGGTACAGAATTTCCTTTGGTGATGAAAATGTTCTGGGATTAAAAAGTGGCGAAGGTTGCACAACTTTGTGAATATACTAAAAGCCACTGATTTTACACTTTTAAAAAGTGAACTTTACGGTATATAAATTATATATCAATAAAAAATTTCAGTTAAAATAAACACCCAAAAGGAAGATGTCTATACTTTGAGAAATTTTGACTTTAAATGAATCCTTTTTGTTCTAAAGTAACTTCATAAAAAGACATTTTGGCAATTTGAGTTATCAGGCCATATGATTTAAAAAACTAATTATAAGATAACATTTATATAGAAAAGAATTTATCATGTGACAAGAACAAAACTGTATACAAACAGAATAATTATAAAGGCAGTGCTTATTAAAAATACATTTCATTTTCAAAATGTGTATAAATATTTAAGTATGTATACATTTTTGTGGGGCACCCTGTATAAACATCACAAACATATTCCATACTGCTTGGTTGCTTCTGAAAAGTTGGCTTAGAAGGGAAGAATACAATTTTTTAAAGAACTGAAAAAATGATTCTGTGTTTTTTCCTACCATTCATAGTGATTTCATATGATTCCAATTTAAGAATCTTCTCCTTGAAGAGCTGCTGCTGAACATCACTCTCAAGGTCATGTTGCCCTTTTGTAAACCATTCAAAACACATCTGTGGATCAAGACAAATATTACCCTACAACTAAAATCCACTCCAGGAAAATACATATTCCAAATTGGGACAGTAAAGATAAATTAGTTGTAATTCTTCAAAAACTTATATTGCCCAAATACCACTCAAAATGGAAATGCTTAGAACTCTGGACTAAATAAAGCATTAAGTTACTAGCAATCTTTCCCACAGATAATGTATATATTCCCACTTTTCTTAGAATTTTATACTTGAGTTTTTCCACAAACATTTATTAAGAAGCCAGGCATTGTGCTAGGCACTATCACATACTTAGTCCTTTCAACAATCCTATCAAGTAGTTAATATTATTCCATAAAATGATAAGAAGAAACAGCGATTCACTGCTAGTAAATGTCAAAACAGGTGTTGAGCTCCTGGTTTAATCTATTTTCCGCTGTTTAATTATAGTTCTAAAATCTGTCTAGGCCTTCATTCTTCTTTGATGTTTCTGGGGTAAAATGTCATTAAACGAACTCAGTTTTATATTTGTAACTTAAAATTAGTTTCATGTGACAGGAACAAAAACACACTAAAAGATATAACTTTGTCCACAATACCATCTTCTTACCTCTCTATCTAATTCACAAACATCCTGGCCAGTCACAAGACACTCCCAGATTTCCTTGGCACGATTCCAACCCAAATACAGAGTAGCTTCTTGCAAGAAAAATGCCAGAAATTTTAGATGGGCTTCTAAATACTGCAAAAAGAAATGATACTTATTGAACTCCAGGCATTCATAACTAAAAGCAAAATTTAAAAAACAAAATAAAACTTTAAAAAACAGTTCTATCTAATGCTTTTCCATATAATTTATGGTAAATGTGAGAAATCAGTTTACAAGCTGACAGTACAATGTAGTAGAAGCTACTTCAAGTCTATTAAAAATTCAGTTGACTTTAGATAATAAAATATGATTTCAGCAAACTCAAAAAGTAAAACACCATAAACTCACAACCAGTCAGTTAAGATTTTTTTCCCTAACTTGAAAACAAAAACAACTATCTACAGAATTGACAATTAGTCAAAGTCAAAGAAAAGATGTCTATTTTTATTACTTTATCATAATGCAGTTCTTAGCGCAAAGAGTCCAAATGAACGTTGTAAATCTTGAAATAAAAGCACAGTGCCAATACCCACCTCCCGGTAAGTGTATCGGCCATCCACTAGTGTTGAACCAGTCAAGCCTCCAGGTCCAGCCATGGCTGCTGCAAGCCGATGACAGGCTATCAAACTTCCCGTTACCAATTTCACTATTTCAAAATTTTTCTTCAAGTCTTGAATAATGCTCTTGGCAAAAACAACCAAAAACAAAAATGGTATGAAAATTTACTTATTTTGTCATTTTAATACAAACTTCTGTTAGCAAGTAATCCTAGGTGAGTGATAGCAAACATGATTTCTTCACTCACATTTCTTACATGAAAGTAAATAAAATCAATCTGGTATGTACACTTACTAGGGAATTAATAAACTCCTCTGCTAAATTTTGCTTCTAAAAAATATTATTTTTCTTTTATAAAGAACTCTTTCAACAAAACTATCCAGATTTTTCTTCTCAAGTCTGTTACATTGAGGAAGTTCTAGCTCCATAGTCACACTAATTTTTTTGTAATATAAAATAAACCTTTGAGTCTTTTCAAGCAAATTTCTAAAATACCATTCTAACTTTTAAAAACTGGCCTAATGATGTTAATATATAGGTAATAAAAGGAAATAAAAATGAGTGAAGGATACATAAAAAGAAAAGCTCCATAGAAATGAAAGCAGAATGATGTTTAAACTCAAAATTATTAAATAATACAAATGAATTACATTAATAACCATAAAATGTAAAATAGTGACAAGACTCAGAGATCTTATTCATGTTTTGTTATTACAAAAGGTTACGAAGCAACTGTATGATAATCAGATTTGGCTATACTATACTCTTACCTTGTCTTGCTTTTGATAGGTTTGTTTTATGAATGAACGGGTGATTTCATGGAGCTGACGCAAAGCTGGTACCACCCATACAAACTGGGGATTGTTAAGTTGAGATGACTAGAGTTAAAAAGAAGTTACATAAATTAAATTTAAAAATAAATGGCAGACAAAACTTATTAGCTATAAAAAATGTCCAAGTCAATTAGGCTTCACTATTGCACATTCTATTATTTTTCTCCTCACATTGCTCATTTATAGCTTATCTCATGCATTCATAATTCAGTCTTCAGCTTCTTATTCTGCATGCAATTTCCTAAGGCCAAGAACTGCAAACAGGAGTGGATGTGAAGTGACAGCAAATGTACAGGGGTACGTCAGCAAAAAACAGACAACAAGGAATTAGCAACTTCAAAGGATAGATTAAGTAGCATAGGCTGCTAGGACATGTTGAGATAATAAAATAAATTGATGGCAAAAGCTTATCTTGGATAAGACAGAACTGGCTGATAAGTAAAATGGTATAAAAACATAGTTTTCTATAATTATATGATTAAGATACCAATGATATGATCAAGATACTGATAGTGGTCTAAATATTAAAGGAAATATTCACAATCTGCTTGTATTTCCTAGTTTAAACAATTTTAGAAGAGATAGTTCTATTTATATTAATTACTATAGCCACTTTATACTTATACTTTATATTTTTCAAAACACTTTTAAAGGTATTATTTCTGAAATGGGTACAGACAATCCAGATTTTCATAGTACACATCTGAAAAGTCTGATGTTCTATCTTTAAAAAGAGAATTGCTTTTTAATAAATAGTATCTTCAAACTATGAGATTTCATTATAAAATTTATAAGAATATTAGGTTAAACACTAAAATCAGCTGATCAATTAAATCCAAGAAACTAAGTAAAAGTTTAAGTCCTGAATATTTACTTTACAGGCTAATTTTTTTTAAGCTTTGCTTCTTAAAGTCTTTCTGTAATATGAAGAGCCCTATGGGGGGAAAAAACTTTTGATGTCCTTTGTAGAAAAACATCCTACTACTGAATATGTAAATGAGAGAGCTCTATTGCCAGAACAATTGGTTTTCCTAGAAACTAGCCAATCAATCAGCCAATACCATATTTCCTGGATTCTAAGATACAAGTTTTATAAATTTCAACAAGTTCTGAAATTGATGCTTCTTACAACTATGTCAAAAGAAACTTAGCCTCTAAACATAGGAGTAAGTTTTGATACAGTTGTCCTTACTTGAGTATGTGCAAATTTAGCTGTATAGAAAGGTTATCTGTTCATCTACCTCTCCATTTATCACTTGGTATAGGAAACACCAACCAAGGAAGGTTTCTTAACTTTCAATGTTATAAAAAAGATTATGCTATAATGTAAAACTGACTAGCGTGTCATGTCCACAATTCAATTAAAAGCAAAGAAAACTGCTAGTGGTCTCAGAATAAAGCATTTTCCAAAGCCAGGAGAATTTTGTGTGACAGACTCATACCCTGTGAAGGGCTGTACCACTCAGCACTAAAGGCCTCTCTGTCCAAAGGTGTACCTTAATTTAAGAGAAGTTGTTTAGCGTGTAGTATACACAATTTAATGAAGTAAAAAAGCAGCTTGAATTTTATGAGAAAGGATAAGGACACAAAACTCCATACTCTTCAACATGCCTCAAAATTATACAGTCAATCTTAAAGATTTCAAAGAGGTCAAAACCACGATTATAGCTAATGAAAAGTAGTGTGCGACAGTGAAGCTGTACATACTGGTCAAAAGGAAGCTGAGGCAAACTCTGAATCTAAACAAATGTATGATAAAAGTGAAATGTAGTTTCTCTTTTACTTCTTTATAAACTTATTAAATCTTGCATCTTAGAATCAGAGAAATAAAGTATATACAGGGTGGGGCAAAAGTAGGTCTACAGTTGTAATAAAAATAACACAATAATTAATAACATAAGAATATGTTTTGTGTACTCATAAGTGTAAGCCTACTTTTGCCATACTCTGTATTAAAGGCCAAATTTGCAAGACTAGCTAGACTATTTCTAAAATACAGAAGTTGAAAAATGGCAGTTTAGGCTAATTCTTAGGCCTAAAATAAACTGAGACCTTCTAAGAAAATTACAAACATAAGGACATAAAATTAACCCTTTAGCAAATAATTGATGTATTAAAAAGTATTATGACCAATTAAGTCAATTAGGATTAGAATACTTTTGACATTAAAAATTATTCTTTGAAGGTAGCTCATTATCAAATAAATTAAAAAAAATACAAAAAGATAAAACTAGAATTTAAAAAGTATTTCTGATATGGCCTTTCTAAAGTTTAGCAAACAGGACAGATATTATTTATTCTATCATATCTATGACGTTATGTTGCTAAGTTACAAGAAAAATTTAAGCTACTCTTCTCCACTTACAAAAGAGGCAAAGATTATGGTGAACATTAAAATAAACATACCTGATAATATCTAATGAGGGAGCTGAGCTTCATAAGTGGGAGTTAACTGGTTTGGCCTGCAAATCTATGCCTAGATCCCTCTTTTCACTGCTGTGAAGTGACCGGTTAGTCTCCCAGTGTTTCTAGTGATGAGGAACTCAGGAGGCAGTGTTCTACTTCAGGCTATTCTCACTAAAGTTTATTGATCTATCATACTGAAACATGCCTTCCCATAACTTCTTAGAAGCCATAAAAGTGACGTTGAATAAAACTTCTCTATAACAATCCTCCCAGTATCTACAGAAAGCTTTCATATTCTTTCTAGAGTTCTCTCTTCTCAAAGCTGAAGATCCCCACTTGCTCATCTGTCTTATTTATCCAGACCTAGCAATTTATCTAGAATTAAAAAGTAAAAGTTTTTACATGAGAGAACGTTTTTTAAAAAGTATTTCCCCCTGTCCTAACCACATCACTGTGAGACTGTACTGAGGACATCTTGCTACATTTACTTTCAGTTACGTGTTTTGGCAAATAGAGGCCACTCAACTATGGGTAAGTAACGCTTTTAGTGTATTTGAAGGGTGAAGGGGAGGAAGTAAGAGGAAGGGGAGCAACATTTACTGAAAGGCTGCCAGGCATTGAACTAGGAGGCCTTGAGATAATGACTTAAGGAATATGCAAATATCACTAATTAAGTAAAAATGGGTTTTTTTGGTTTAGTAATTTTTTTGGATGAGTACATTTAAACTTTTTAATTGAAGGAAAAAAGAAGTGAAATAAGATGGAGAGGGTTGGGGTAGACAGTGGAAGGTATAAAGGAAGCAAAAGAAAGAGGACCAAGGAAGCCAAGGGTATCCTGGCAGAATCTACAGAAAAATAAAGTTAAGAAATAAAGGTCAGAATTTCTGAACACAACAGTGGAACTTGGGAATTTTAAGAGTGTCAAAAGCAGGGGCAAAGGGAACCAGTTGGGGAAATAGGTAGCTGAGGGGAGGGGGAGGAAGAGGTGGGTGGTCTTGTCTTACCCTTTGCTTAGTTTCTGTGGAGCCTGGCAGGGAGACATAATCCCCAGTCAGCCCACCTTGCTGCCTGGCAGGAAAGGGCATAGCACAGAAAACACCTTTAGTGGCAGGATATACATCGCCCCGCCTGGGTCATGTCCAGGGGCTTAGATCTTCCCACTGCCCCCCTTCAGCCACGTGCACTTTAAAGAACATCTGTAAAAGCACTTAGTCAACTGAAAAGTGCCATATAAATGCAAGATATTATTATTTGGAATAAAATAATGATACATCAGGATTTCTTTACTGGGAGCAGTGGGAAATAAAAGGAAGAATATTCTTTTCAAGACTCACAAAATAACTCCAAAATTCTCCCTATTACTTTTTGAGTTTTGTCATGAAACAACAGACATGAATGAAGTGACTGCAAAGAGAAGCAATAAAGATGTAGTGAAGCTACTGGCTAGAAGAGCTAAGTAGTGCTTAGCTGTAATGAGGAAGGAACAGAGATCAGGAAGGTATTTTCTGGGTTTAAAAGTCATTTTCCTGGAGGGGGAAGAAGTCCTTTCAGCTTTAACCTTCATTTTCTATAAAGAAATGTATATGTTACTAAGAAGAAAAGACCATTTTTTTATGGATATCCTTTTCCTCTTACTATTATTAGTGAAGGACCTAAAACTTCTTACGTAACTCTGGATTAGTTTCAATCATAAAGACAGAGGCTGCTAAATTATCTGAAAGGCTGAGCTGAGAAAACTGGAAAAATTCCAATTGTATCTGAGTAGGAGGAGAGCAATGCTGTTGAATTAAAGAAGTAATTCCTCATAACCAGAACACCACCAGCCCGTTTGTGAACAACTTTTAAACAATCTCTAAAGCTAGACAATATGCAAAAAATTCACTTGATCAAATTCCAATGTCAGAAATATAAAACACCAAGTTTTTAAATGCCCCCAACTAAACTTTAGGGCCAAATATAAATAAGACAATAAAAGCCCACTGAATCACCAGAACCTCTTAATAAGAACTAAGAATCTCCGAGTATACCAATGACAATCAATAGTAGTCAAGATCTTTAAAGAAATACTTCTTAGTGAAAGCTAAGAAAAATGATTTACCAACGAAATTACTAAGCCATTAACTATTTACCAAAACCTTTTATGTTAACAGTGAAATGAAATCCCTCTGGCTGCTAGGCTTACATTTGGTCTGGGCAACCTCAGGGCCTCCGTGGGAGGAGGACATGGCTCCTGTGACCAGGGCCGTTGCAACACCGGGTGTGTGTCCAGTGAGCGGCCACTGTGATCAGCCCTCTCAGAGGAGAGACTTGACATCTGAGGACAGGAGCAACAGGAGAGCAGCAATGACCACTGCTTCCTCTGCTAACTACCCTTTTAAAGGACAGTCCAGAGTCCACTGGAACCTGAGGCCAGAGCCCTGCAGGGTAGGGCTTGTACAGAGCCAGTCCCTCTTGTAGTCACTGCCCAAACCTACCTTCTAAAATGGAGTCCCAGCAGCAGACACTCACCCATTCACTGTTTGTCTAAGGAGGTACTTTAGGAACACATCTGAATCAAGCACCTAAAAAAATGACCATGTGCCAGCACTGAAGGAAATTTCTCACTTTCTCTCTCTCCTTCTTACTCTATAAATGTTCCTCCATGGGAGAAAAATGGTCATATTTACTTAGAATCCACTGTACTTATTTAAGCTGTCCACACTTTGGAATTAATTTTAAAAAGGTTAAGTTGAAGTTCTTATAATTTTGTGAAAATAACTTAATAAAATTACTCTGAATTTGATT